CGACAGTAAACGCAGGGCGATCAGAATAGATGTCCGCTCTTTTCTCAAGCAGATCCTGGACCGCCTTCATAGAGTTGAGAACGAGTAGATTATTGCCCAGGCCATGGAAGAAGACGAGATCACCTGCTAGATGGTCAGCAACACTCAACCAAAGCAGTCCTTTGAACTCGCCATAAATGTCTTTATATTTCGTAAATTTGATCCAGCCAGCCTTCGGAGAAACATCGAGGATGTTCCCAATGACAGGCTTTGAGGGGGGACCGGGCGGGAATATGGCGGTCGGACGGCGCCGCAGACGATACGAGGCCAAGGCTAGCAGGATGACCGCGCAGCCCGCCCAAAGTTGCAGTGACATGGCGGAAAGTAAAAATGGGTACGGTCAAGTGCCCAAAGTTTCCTAGTACTTCTCAATTTCGAGCCTGACGTCTAGCATGGCATGATTGATGCTTTTCCTCAGCCAGGACCGCTACGTGCTGGTGTGGTGATGGTGTCATTGCGATTCGGCAGTAGTCATTCTTTACTCCACGGGAGCCAATACCATCCACGGAATGTCAAGCTTTAGGGGTTCGAACGTTCAAATGGCGATATTCAAACCTTGTACTTCTGTGGAGATGAAGCTCATAGCAAATTGCGTATTTGTCGCCGGGGTCACCTTCAGCGCGGGCCCAAGAATTTCGGTGGCCTAAGCAGACATGTTAACATCCGTCCTTAATCTTCATCAGCACCCTAAGCCTTCTTGCAGCATCTACATCAGAAGAAGTCACGCACCATAAGGACGAACAAGCACTGCGGATGGCCGTGACGGGAGCTTTGAGTCGGCGCGTCTCGGGTAAAGACCCCGAATTCTAATTAAGCGCCAGAACGACAGGCTGTCGGGGTCGCGGGGCCCGCGGCCAACATCTTCTCTTGTGGCACTCTTACTTACAGGGAGCGATGATGATTGTCAGCATGTTCAGGTAAGTGAATGGAGATAACAGTGATTACTGTCATGCCCAGCATACTTATACCAAACTAATCACCAGGAAGAACCACGACGTTCAAGCGAACCATCTTGCGCGATGCTAACAGCTTTTCAGGACCTGCAAACTGGGCTGCGTGACCACCCTTTTCTTTTGCTACCGATATGCACAGCGATTTGGGTGCTCTATGCCGCCTGCAGGTCGAAGTACTCCGTGGAGAGTTTGCCAGTACCTGTAGGTGCTTGTAGGATTTCGCTGTTTCCTGCCATACTGATCTATTTTATTTGGGCATACACAGCCTGGAGCCTCCTGGATCTTTGGTCACGAAGGTGAGGTTGTGAAGAATGCGCCTGGTCGTATTTTCAGAGAATGGGCCGACAAGTTGGGCCTGACCTATCGCATCAAGGCCGCGTTTGGCGTAAGTCGGTAATCGTACTAGTATGACACTGCGCATGCTCATCGACGGCGCGTTTCAGGCTCGTGACGTGGTGAGTGGCATTTACAATTTTAGTGATGACCAGAGCTCATATCGCCTTAAGCTTGTTCTTTGTGACCCTGCGGGCATTGCACACATTTTGCAGAAGAAAGTATATGACTACCGTGCGTACAATTGCCGCTAGGGTCGTTGATTAACGTGCTTACACCTCATGTAGATCACAGCAGAGTGGTTAGACCTCGAATTGGTCGCCTGCTCGGGAAAGGCCTCGGATGGGTGGAGGGCGAAGTAGAGCACAAGAGAATGCGTCATCTTATTAGTCCTTCTTTATCGTCAGCCCATTTCGTAATTGCCCTGTTTAGCACCACTTACATTCGCCCAGACACGAGAATATGAAGGAAATGGAGTCCGATGTGCGGGTGGCAGCTATGCAGGTCAGTAACCCCATTTGACAGAATAGTTCTGACGACCTGACTTTGGCGATATGCGACATGATACCCTTTAGGTCATAGACAACTTCACTCACGAAGTTCACGCCAGCAACAACAAGAAGTGGGTCAACCTGTTTGATGTGACAGGCAAAGCGACGTACGTGGGCAGCAATAGTCTCCGGCGTGCATCGCAGCTACTTATGACCGTTTATGCAGTCTTACGATTATCGGGAGAGTGGTGCGCATAGACACTACCAAGCATATTCACCGACTAATGCAGCTGCGCAGGCATTCCTCCATGACTTTGAAGGTGGGGAGAGCGAGGATGCACGCAAAATTCTGGAAGCCCGCCGTATAGGCGTTTCCCCAGCAATTAAATCCTCTTCTCTCATTGTACGCTCAATCTTCTCCTTCCGTCGCTAAAGAGTGCTTCTCACTTGACGCTCGACGTCAGATGTTTATGCTCCTCAGGCGATTCCCAATTCTCAACGACCTTCCGATCCCGGCGCTTCAAGTGCAAGGCTTAGCAAGAGAGATTATTCAGGTGGACAGTCTACAGCATCTCACTGACGAAATGAAATTAATCCTTTACGTAGTCTGGGGTCGCCCACGAGATGATTCGGCGTAACGAGGACGTTGTTGAAGGGGTGGACCCTAAGTCGCATAATGATCTATTGAGCAGACTCTGTGAGAATCGTGTCTATCTCAAACAGCTCATCACCTGACGCGCTTCGTAGTGATTGCTCACAGCGCAGGACAGATTTCTACAGAGGAGCTCTACGCGCAGGTACATCGCGAAGTTACTCGCGCAAAATTTTACTAATAGGAGCTGTTGCCAGATCTCTACTTTTATGTATGAATATTTTCTCATAGCGCACCGGAAGCTATGCTGATCTATGAATTAACAGCATCACTGGCAATGAGACATCAACCCAGACTCTCGCTTTTATGATTTGGGAACTCGCTCGCCACCCGGATGTGCAGGAACGCCTGCGCAAAGAATTGAAGGCATTCCCCGGCGAGCCCAACTACGACGATTTCCAGGCGAAACTACCATACCTCGACGCCGTCATGAGAGAATCGTACGAGCTTTCGCGATTTTCAAACACTGTGCTGACAGTTTGTAATTTCAGTCTTCGTCTCTACCCTGGTCTACCGTACATGGAACGCGTTGCGACCAAAGAGGACGTTATCCCGCTGCGCGAACCCGTCAAACTCTCCAACGGAAAGGTCGTCTCGGAGCTTCCCATCTCACCTGGACAGGTGCGCACACAAAACTATGCGATGGCAGCCGCGATTTCTGATGTGATTTCAGGTCGTTCTGATTCCGATTCTCTCCTTCCAACGGATGGACTCTGTGTACGAGGACGGCGAGACATTCCGCCCTGAACGATGGCTGGATGGAAGCGTCGACACGAGCACCAGGCAGTTTTCAGGTTGGGGACATATGCTCGCCTTCAGCGACGGGCCTAGGAACTGCATCGGCACGCGTCTTGGTGAGATTGCGTTTCTGTCTTATCTGCTCATGGCGCCCGGTGGGCTAATTTTCGTGTGTATGGCAGGTCTGTTGCAGATGAAGGTTCGCTTCGTCTAGTCACCCTGTACGGGAGATGCTGACCTGTCTGAACGTAGGTAATTCTCACATACATGATGGAGCGCTTCAGGTTCGTCGACACCCACGAGGACGTCACGTTCAAGATTTCGTCTAGTCTGCAGGCCTGGGTCGCTGACAAGCCGGAGCTTGGACCCTGTCTGCCCGTTCGCGTTGAGCTGCTGTGAACAAGTTTGGATTGCGTTCGTGCGATATCTATCTTGGGAGAATGTAGTTGTTATCTCCGCTGAACAAATTGAAAGCATGTGCTGTTTGGCGGCCACGAACGCCCGGACTCGAGCAACCACGAATCGATGTCTCCTTCCCTATCCGGGTACTCCGTGTCACTGGCCCACAGGTGGCAAGGTTCCCGAGTACCCATGCGATGCTCGCCCTTGTGAGCATGTGTGACAGCAGTATCTATGCGCAGCAACTGACGCTAACTCATCGATTGACCGGCATCATATTCGTGACTGGCGAAGTTCAGCGCGCGGCCGCCTAGCTGTCATATTTGTCCGCAGAAGTCGTGGTCTGAACTGGTGTACCTGGCTCTACGCACATACCAGAGATCACGCCCATGTCCATTACAGGAGTCCGCCCCTAAGGGCTGATGGACTTCTATCGCACGGAAGAGCAGAAGAGTAGAATGGTCATTTGGTATGCGCCGTGGCAGTGCGGTCCAAGGAACAAAGTGGAGCATCGATGCGATTCGATGGTCCTCGAATTTCCAGTTCAAAGGGAAGTATTCGTTCGTGGTGGGAAATCTCTTATCTCATAATGCAGCATTCGTACTTCGGAGAGGATGTCAGATGTCGGATAGACGTGACCACACCGGCGTCGAGCCGAACTTCAATCTTCAAGCTCTTCAAGGCCCCAAGCTCAAATGAAACTCCCGCTCTGCATTTCCACACCGCACGCCAGATGCTCTTTGCACCCGTCATGTGATTCTGATCTTCAATCAGAAGAGCATCTCAGGCACTTTTCTTGGCCGTTTACTGGCTACCAGATATGCTCCACAGACATGATAGCTCGGTAGGCAAACCGCGGAAAGATGCTGGGATGGATACTACTGCCCCAATGGCGGAGGTTCCGCAAGCTGGGAAGCTGGGAATTCATGGTTCCCTGTCGCGTAAGCCACTAATCAGAGCTCCAAGTGGGAAAGCGAAGATACAAGGAGGTCGGGACATGACGTCCATAGCGACGTAAACCAACGTGTCGGCTATGCAGGCGTGGGCCCCTCACTCATGACGCGCAAAATATGTAACAAAATAATCATTCTTGTTGTGTACAGAGCAGGAGTTCGGAAAACGTAAGTAGCCATTTGTGATACATCGTAAGGATTGAAAGAACAAAATCTGACTGAGATACTCGACGAAACAACGTATCAAAGTTGAATGAACCCGGTCCTGGCGTTCAAGGGTAGCACATGTACTAGCATGAGCCATAGCTGTGAACGGCCGACTTAGAAGGACGCACGCAAGACAGGAGCCGGCACTCACATTGTAGAAGACATACGACTTGCGATCTTCCGCTTCAGCTCTGTGCATATAGTAGCGGAGGCCGACGAAAACGCCCAAACCAATGAACCCGATGGCGCATAAGGGCCCTATGCGCCAGAACCAGCTCAGAAAGATAGACCACACGATGAGGGCTCCCAGCGTGAATGCGCGGGAGAACTCCGGGGCATATATGGGGAATGTAACCCGTCCAAGCTGTTTATCCCCCTCCACATCTGCGAAGTCTTGCGCCTGTATTGTCGTAAATATCAAGGCACCGCTTATGCACACTGCAGTGGCGGAGATGTAGTCCATCTCCCGGCTGGCGCCTTTTGTAGCATGTCAGCGAGAAAGTATCGGCGGAAAATTTTACATACCCATGATCTTCGTGGCACCGATTTCAAGACTGGTGTAGCCTCCAATGTTGCAGAAGTTCTTTCCAATATAGTGACCCGCAAGGCCGAGCTCGTCGTAGAGAAACGTCGTGATGAAAAGCGTCAGGGTCGGAAGGATAAGGTCTGGGCCGTACATTGCCGACCACCACGCGCACAGGCCCACAGAGACCCATCGAAGAGCGGTTGCTTGAGACTCTGTGATTCGGCCTGCGGGCAGCGGGCGCCATGGCTTATTTATCGCGTCCTCTGCCGCTCCTCTAGACTGGTTCGAAATGTTGCACATGAACTGGTGCATCCATATCCACATAAAACCCCAAAGGAGTCGTGGCGTGGAGTGCAAGGGAGCCGCGGCACATGCGAATATGGACTGAAGCAAGATTATCGAAATCGCTATTATCTAAAGGCATAGGAACTTACAATGGGGAAAAAGATTGTTTTCAGGTCAGAGATTGTGAAGAGAACGACGGTATGAGCATGGTAGCGCAGGCGAGCAAACAAGGCCGTCATTAGGGGCGAGAGGCGAAGAACGGCGCGGTTGGGCGAACGCAACGGGTGCGTCTTGAAGTTAAGTTCGGCAGTACCAGAGAGCATAACAGTACCGTTGGACGTTTCTCAGAAATATTCATAATCGTAGTTATAGCGCACTCCGAGAGACGATTGATTGAGTATCATCCCCCAAGCGACCTATCGCACGCACCGGAACATCATAGGCATAGTTCGCCTTCTACCGTGCAGAGGCGACTATCAAACATCTGCAGAAGCTCTGAGCCCGTGCATGGCTCTCTATTGATATCAGTAAGCACCGTATTGCACGGAAAGAAATACCTACGTGTGGCTTTCATCACGCCTCTATTCAGAAAAGAGTTTGGTATTTGCACGTTCCCGCCATGTCCCTGTCGGCGTCGCGTGAATGTCACAATGTGTAAGTCGCCCGTGTTATCATTCGCTACGCGACCCAGAAAGTACGCCGAAAGCATCCGGTAGGCCCTCGTGAGCGCGCTCCATTCTCGAAGCTCCACAATGTAGAGCTCACGATATCAAAACCATAACACGCGCCCCGACGAGTTCCCTCACACCGCGCAAGGTACCAAAATCTTGGGTGCGCAATCAGCTCAGTTGTAAGGATGTTGCATCGAGTATCTGCAATGGCCATTACGCCTTTTTCTGCGCCCAGACGAAATACACATCTGTCGTAATGCTGCGACTCGGATCGAGTAGCTCACTGCGACCTCGAACGGCAAGCTCCTCTGTGATGCCCTGCTCGGCGTACCGCTTCGGCAGGTCTCCCATAACGTGGAGGGCGTTTGTCAGCCATGCCTGGCCTAGAGCTCGGAGCGGGGGGTCTGAGAGGAATATGAGCTGCGCGAAATTCTGAAAGGGCAACCCGGCATACCATCGCACATTCCAGACATTGGCACCACCGCTTTCCGAACTCCGATTTTGTCGAATGCGCCGCTTGAGTCTAGAATCCTCTCGAGGTCCCTTCCGATGCAGGGGTTCGCGCCACGAGCTCGCATAATGCCCGCCCATGTCTGCATGAATTCTGAGAGCGCAGGACCCAACGGCCGTCCACCGTCGAGCATCCGGTCGTCATCAGGGTCCTCCACAAGCAGCCAGCCGCCGGGCTTCACAAGCTGAATTGCGCGTCTTAGCGCATCTTCCCCGTTTGGGACCTGCTCAAGTTATTGACCATTGTGGCATTAAGCATTCGATAGGTCACGTACGTGCATCATCACCAGCCGAGAATGGACGATGTCGAAGCTCTCGCGCTCAAAAGGGAACTGATGAGTAATGTCTACCTGCTGGAATGTTATGTTCGGGGGCAGTGGGCTGAAGCAAGTCGCCGTTAATGCGTATCCAGCTTGTACGAGAAAGGTGCCCACCGTTCAGGAAGGGGACTTATGTCAATCGCCGTAACATGTGCATGTGGGAATTCCTGGGCTGCTTCTATAGCCCTGAATCATGGTTCAAAATTTTGCCCCGCAGAAGATGATGATGACGAGGCGCACCATGCACCGCTGCCGCAGCTGTCAACATGTTGGTTAGTCCAACAAGCGCAATGTATACGGAACGGTACGAACCCTATCTCAAGGATTGATTGAGGAGATGATGACGAGAGGTCGGCGAATGAGAGATGATTGCCAAAATAATCTTTTATTCCGGCATGCAGCGCATCCAGACTGTCTCACGTAGCGTCAGAAGTTGACTAATTCGCGGACATGAGAGAGGGACGCCCACCGTAATAATTCCTCTGGCGCTGCATGGGCAGACTTGGCGAACGCTATCAACAATCTTATGCGAGTACATGTTATCGTTCGTGCATACCTGAAAGGTATACAGCGCCTGCAAGCCGCGTTGAGAGGTGTCGAGCGCCAGATTGTCGGTGCACAGCATAATATCCGCCTTACCAGACCTATAGAACCAAATTTCCAGATAATAGGGAGACCACGTATGACGGTCACGTACCAACGAGCAAGAATACGATGGCAAAAGGGCAGCACTGCCGTCGCGGTAAGTTCTCGTGTGCAATCATGGCGTTATAAAGACTATGTTAAGTGAGCGTCTGACTGGGTCTCTTCCCTCGGATTCCCTGGTTACACGTCTCGAAGTACGTGTACGCCGAATGGATGCCACGAAGCCATGAACTTTTGTGGACATTTCGTTAAGTTCAAGAGGTCGTCCGATGTGTCAGTGATCTTGCTGTTTGGGATGCCGTGAAACTCAGGTCCCTAGGTCAACCCAGGGTACCAATGCAGAGGGTTATTGACGCGTGCATGTGGGGCTTTGACGTCCGGTCGTCGCCTGCTCCGCTGGTCATCGGAGAGAGCGGTAGGTGCACTTGGCCATGCAAGTGATTGCTGTGCATGTTCGACAGAATTGAATCGGATCCCAGGAAAGCAGCATCCTAGGAAGTCTGCTGATATTGGCGTGAGTTCGGCAGCGACACCGGCTTCAATTGAGGTTCACTGACCGAGTTTGAGCATGGTAGCAGAGCCATTCTCTGTTCAAAATCAAAGCGAGTGTCAGATCTCGATTGACCCAGCCGTCCCAAATTTCAGTTAAAAGCTCCTGATACTAGACCGCCAACTTCGCCGGATTTCGGAAGCGGTGGATGGAAGTTCCAAGCTCGCTTTCGTGGCTTATGGTCATCCACCAGAAAGCACGAGCGCAACAACTCTTCTCTAACAATCCACGCTGTCATTAGAAGCTCTTGATGTCCACATGAAGGAGCCGAAGATGCTCATCGTGTCGCCCCAGGATGGTCTGGGGCATGGAAGATGGAGAAGCACCGAAAAGCGGAGAGGCGCCTACTGACTGTTTTCGGAAAATGTTGTTGAGCTCTTCTCACGCCTCTTTTAGACGAAAAGACATGTTAATTTATCTCGTGGTATAGAAGCCTGTTGCATTCTGCCCTTGTCACTATGCTCGTGCCTATTTCAATGGTGAGTTGAACATGGAGCGTCTTCGTCAATGGCTCTCGTCGGCGCCGATTGGAGAACGTTCGCGCGATAGACGGCCGGGGCATGCGGGTACTACACTGCTTTGATGATATCCACTGGCCTATGTAACAATGTCCAAGTGAAGAGGCGTACACAGGAACCACAAGCTCTGGAGCTCGGCAAGCACTGCGAATCCAAGGCTGTGATGTCGACGATTATGTATCGAGGCAACAAAAGCGAGCCAGCCTGAGGGTCAGTATCATCCAATCCCGTCCCAAAGCGATAGGCCGCTCCATATAGTCTTGGACAGCGACGCTTACGATGTCTGCATCAGATACAGCCGTGGGTTTGTTAGGGGAGCTCGAACATGACATGCTTCAGATTCGTCCACGCTGTGGTGCGACAGCCTTTTGCTATCATCGGAGCCCGGAGGTTGCGTCACCTGTAGTTTACGCGCTTGTGTCTAGGCTCAATACCAGCCAACCATCCCACCATCGGTACGCGCTTCTACCAACTGCCGAGTAGACTGTTAACGAGTTTAGCTTGGGTCATTGTCTGACTCAATGCTGGCGCGGCGTGGCGACCTGTACTACCCGAGAAAATTGTAACGAGGACTTTCGGAGTTTATAGGTTCCGTTTGTAGAGGTGCGGGCCTGCAGCAGAATTTTCAAAGTCCGCTGATCAACCACTACAAGTGGTTTTGTTACGGTTGCCTCTCGCTTGCCAATGCTCAGCACCCTAAAACCAAGACTAGCCCCGTACGATACCAAAGACACCGTCCGCGATGGCAATCTGTTTGAGGAGCACACCCGAACGCGGGTGTCGCGGTGAACTCGGCGCGGCGGCAAAGCAGCGGGGGCCGGACACTGACGCTCTTACACGCCGAATCAGGGCGGAGGTTCGAGTGCACTTTGTATGGCCTTGGCTTTCGCCTTCACAATGGCTAGGAGTGCATCTCCGAAAATGCCGATCTATCCAATATTGGACTTTAACGACCATACCGGATTACACACATAATGTCGGTTTTCGCTGACCCCGCCATTATTTTGTTTCTCGATTTCTAGCGATTTTTTGGCGAGCTGTCAGAAAACTCGCTTCAGGTACAGTACGGGCCGTAACCAACGTCGGGGCCCGATGTCTGGGGCGCTTGCAAAGCCGGCTAACACAGGGCGGCCTAAGAGTCTTACTAACGTTGGTCACCCTGAGACGCCATGATGTAGCAACGACGGGGGCCTAAAATCAGGAGTCGGCGAAAAAGTCCTCTCGCTTCTACCTCTGACTCTGACACCTTGAGTCGCACTCGGTCATGTGTTTATCTGCATTCAAAACGCTCCTGCTGCTCATCAGCGTGGTTCA